TGCTCTTGTCCTTGCTTGGAACTGTCACTTTTGTTGCCAAGAGTGTAATAAAGGAGATGTGGTGGTTCTTAGCACTCTATGTCCCTGGTGTTTGCTTTTGTTGCCAGAATACTGCTTTCTTTTGCATCTGTCATGTTTAGATGCCTTTCCCCAGAACTGCCTTGATCCACTTAATGAGAGGGTGTGTTAATGATGATCTTCTGTATTAAGAATTTGCGTGGAAAGTGACAGCCTCCTGAGTTTCTTGGTAAAGCTCTGCTTCCCTAAGAACACCACTGCTCAGGGATGGTAAGTGGTGTGTGCATACTACAGCTTTGTTAGCCCTTCACCCGCTGATGGACAGCTGTGTTGCTCTTGATTTGGGGCTATTGTGAATAAAGCTGTGCTGAACATTTGCATACACATTTTGGGTGAGCATAAGCTTCCATTTTCTTGGATCCAAATGCCTGTCATGAACCCCTCCAAACTTTCACTGGAGTCGGTTGCCCTAGTTTGCGGTCTCTCCAGCAGCTGATGTGTTTTCCTACATCCTTGCCAGCGTTTGATATCGCCATTGCCTTTAAATTTCAGTCATTGGCAGGTGTATTTTCGCTACTGTACGTGGTTTTAATTTATATTCCTCCCAGAGACTGATGTTTAAACATTCTTTTGTGTACTGATTTGCTACCTGTAAATTTTCTCTGATTGTGTGTCCATTTATGTCCTTTGCCAACTGACTTTTAAAATATCATCATTTCTAGAGAATTTGTTTAAGGTTTTGTTTAGTTTTTCTATTAGATTTTCAGTATTTGTGTTTTGATTTACAAATTCTTCATATGTTATTGGTTTCTGCTCCTTTTCAGAGCTATTGTTATATAGGCACATCTATATATGTGTTTCATAGACATATATTTACATAGAGAGATACTGTACACATCTTCAGTCTATTATGTGATCCACTCTCTCATCCCTTTGATAGTATCAAGTGACAAATGGAACATCTAAATTTTAATGAAGTCTAGGTTATCAGAATTTTATTTTATGAGTTGTGCTTTTTGGATCCTGTCATGGCAATCTGTGATTACTTGAAGGTCATGGAAATGCTTCCTTGTATTTTTCCTAAAATCTTACCACTTTCCTCTGTGCTTGAGGACTATGTGTGAAATTCTGCTATTGCTTTCTTCTGTAGTTAGAAGAATTTGCCACAGAGCCATTTGGGTGTGAGCTTTTCTTTTTGGCTGGATTTTAAATAAGCAGTCATTTATTCTAAATAGATGTAAAACTGTTAAGGCTTTTCTTTTTCAATTTTCCTTTTAGTTTTAGTAGTTTCTAAGTTTGAGAAACTTTTAAGTAAATTGTATCTTTTTTTTTGCATAAAGGTTATATAAGATGCTTTCGATCAGACATTATTAGTGTGTGTGTGTGTGTGTGTGTGTGTGTGTGTGTGTGTGTGTGTGTAGTACATGTGTGTCCCTGTTTGTATCTGTGTGCATGTCTGGGGGTGCACATGTGCCTGTGCACCTGTGTGTATGGAGGTCAGAGGTCTGTGTAGAATGTCTTCCATTCTTGCTCTCCACCTCATCTTTTGAGGTAGAGTCCCTCACTCAACTCGGGTGCTCATTGTTTGGCTGGACTGGCTGGCCAGCCAGCTCTGTGATCTCCCTGTCTGCCTTCATCCAGTGCTCAGGTTACAGCAGTTTTTATGTGATCACCAGGGATCTGGACTCAGAACTTCATGCGTACACAGCAAGGGCTTTGCTGGTTGAGCCACTGCCTCAGCCCTTACCTTCATATAATTTTTATTTCTAAAGTATTTGAAATTGTGTGTTTCCGCTTTCATTTCTCTTTGTGGTTCTTTATCTTCTTCTTTTGTAAAACTCATCAGTTTTGTGAGAAAACGTTGTTGTTGTTTTAACCATCATATAATTTCTAGCATATTAGTTTATTTTGTTATTTACTTCTTTTAAACTTTTTATTCTTTAAGAATTTCATATGTGTATCCAATGAACTATGATCATATCCACCTCTATTTTTTGCTCTCCAACTCCCCCCAGATCTTCTCCACAAGTCTACCTCCCAACTTCATCCTCTTTTTTTCTTTTTTAATAGCCCACTAAGTCCATGAAGTGCTGCTACCTGCATGTGCTTGAGTGTAGGGCCATCCAGTTGAGCATGGGCAACCTATTAGTGACCACACCCTCAAAATTATTCACCACCACCCAGCATCCCTCCATTGCCAATAGCAGTTAAAAGCAGGACCTCTTGAGTTCTGCCCCACATCCATGCTGGAGTTTTGAATGGGCATGGCTATGTTGTTTAGAGTGGCTTTGAACTAGAGCTCTTCCTGCCCCAGCTTTCTGTGTGTCTAGAATTACAACTGTGTGTGACATTGTCTCATATTATTAATTTCTTTCTACTTCTTATATATTTGGTTGTCTCTTTTTTTCTTTCTTTTTCATCTTTTAATGAAATAAAAGATTAAATAATTATGTACTTTTATTTTGTAATATGAACATATAAAACTGATAATTTCACTCAAGGCTTTGGTTTTACTAAGATTTGTAGCTGAAGTTTTCTCTGGGCCTGCCCAACCCCATGGACCCCACAGCCGCTTATAAAATAATCACTCAGAAGCTTATATTAATTAAAACTTCTTGGCCATTAGCTCAGGCCTACCACTGACTAACTCTTACATTGAAACTTAACCCATTTCTGTTAATCTATATGATGCCACGTTTTCCATGGCTTTACCTGTGTGCCATTACATGCTACTCCTTGGACAGTGGGCTGGTGTCTCCTGACTCAGCCTTCTACTTCCCAGAATTCTCCTCTCTTCTTGCCCCACCTATACTTCCTGCCTGGCTACTGGCCAATCAGCATTTTATTTATCAACCAATCAGAGAAACACATATTCACAGCATACAGAAAGACATTCCCCAATCACTTCCCCTTTTCTGTCTAAATAAAAGGAAGGTTTTAACTTTAACCTATTTAAATTACATATAACAAAACAGTAATCAAGGAAGAATTAGTTATAATATCTTGTCTATTTGTATTTGGCAAAATTAAAGAAAATATTCTATCCATCCTATATTTGTGAGTCTAAAGTTTTATATCTAATTTATCTTTTAAGGAAAATTATAACAATCTAGTCTTCAACTACATCAAAGACCTCAGAAGGATATAATATTACCTAAGTAAGAACATTATAAGCAACTTTCAAAAATCTGGAATGACAAAGATGGCTGGCTGCCTGGACAGTCACCCAAAGTTCTTCTGAAATGTTGAGGCATCCATCTTCAGCCTATAGGCTTAGCATAGCTGACAGACTCATTTGTGAAGTAGGATGTACACAAGGTCTACACTTGGACCTCACATTTGGTGTGAGTAGTCCATGTACCAGATAAACCTGAATTCTACCAATGTTCTGTCATGATCCAGGATTTTAAATTCTGGAAATTGTTGGTGTTTTGGGAATTCAGCTGTCCATTCTTCTCATCCTGTGGGTGGCTTCATCTCTTTTGTTAAATACCAGTCTGCCATTGAGAGGTTAGATTCTGTCAGCCTAGTTACTCTTTCAAGAATAACTGTTTCAGCTACTGTTCCACTGCACACCAGAAGCCATTGGTCCATTGCTTGTCTATAAAGATTGTGTGTGTGTGTGTGTGTGTGTGTGTGTGTGTGTGTTGTATGTATGTGTGTGAACTTGTTCAAATGCATGTGTAGGCCAAAAGATGACATTCAATGTCTTCCTCTATCAGTCTCTGCTTCATTGCCTGGAGAATTCTTGAATTGAGAAGAAACTGGCCAGAGAGTTCTTGGGATCCAATTATCATTCTCTCCCCATCATTTCCCCAGTGCCAATGTTACAGCCATCCCTGGCATTTTGCTCAGATTCTGGGGATTTCAACTCAGGCCTCACACTCTTACCCACTGAACCATCTCCCCACCTCCAGAATTTATCTTATATGTCCTCTTTACCATTATTCAGTTCCAAATGCTTTCTATTTTCTTCTCCCATTTTTCTCTTTCTTTCTTCCTTTTCTTTTTTCTTTCTTTTTATTTTTCTTTGAGGCAGGGTCTCATGTAGTTCAGGTTGACTTTGAACTCACTGTGTAGGTGGGAATGATCTTCAACTCCTGATCCTTCTGCCTTCATACCTTGTGATTCAAATCCAGGACTTGGTGCATAAGGGGCATCAAGCACTCTGCTCAGGTACATTCCCAGCACAAACTGCTTCCTTTAATCATAATTTATATATAAGTATATTGTTCAACTTCCATGTAATTAAGTTTCTTCTGTTTTGTTTGTGTTATTGTCTCTAGTTTAATTCCATATGGGGCGGACAGAATATTCTGATGATTTAAGTATTTTTTTTTATATCAAGGCTTTCTCAATGGCAAATAATACTCTTTGAATAAAACTTAAACAGTGGAAATTTAAATATGTTTTATGAATGTGTAGAGACGCAATAAAGATATACACTATGGGACATGAAGCCATGATGAACTTTGATTCAGGATGACAGTTACTTTTTGAGGTAAAAGACAGTATAAATAAGAAATGGATTCATCACCATATAGTTAGAAGTATATTATCATGACATTCTTAGCCTCTGTCTTAAGTTGTGGATCTATAAATGATTATTATGTTTTTAGTGTAAACTATTAAGCTTTTTAAAACCTCAGTTTTTGTTAAGAAATATGCTGGGCACACAAAAGTGACTCCTATATCACATAGGACCCAATTAAGTTAAAAGTTTATTGTTATTTAAAATCATACTTTTCTTTTTATTCATTGTAAATAATATATATCAGGTACTGTCACAGTCTTTTTATTTTTTTTTTAGGTTTCAAGACAGGCTTTCTCTGTGTAGCCCTGGCTCTTCTGGAACTCACTCTGTGGATCAGGCTGGCCTTGAACTCATAGAGATCCTCCTGTCTCTGCCTCCCAAGTGCTGGAATTAAAGGTGTGTGCCACCACTGCCCAGTTTTTAAATTTGCTTTTCTCTTTCCTTGCAGCATTAGAAGGAAATGCTCCCAGGGCATGGCGAGTCTCGCTCCTTGGAAGTTTGTAGCCTTCCTGACATTTGCATATGTAAGTTAAGTATCCTAAATCTTCAAGCCCAAAATATGAAACCTGTGCAATGCCAAATCTGAGCTTTTCCCTTCCATCTTCTCTGACCTGGTCATTTTAGTACAAGAGGCTTAATTGCTTGCCACTGTGAAAAAAAATTATTAGGTGCCAAAAATAATTACAGCTGTGATGAATGCACTATGGTTCTTGGAATGATAATCTGTGCCTATATTTTTTGCTACTTCTTTTAGTTCTTAAATTTATAAAAGACAGACTTGGTGGTGGTATAGTGGTAAATAGCCTCTGACTGCCAGTGGCTTACTGCACAAAATTTGTGTCTTTCTTACTCCATTCCCAGTCATTATGGTCACTCAGACAAGCGAAATAGCAGCTGTTTGTAATACTGCTGGTTGTGGCCCTAGAGAGGAAAAGGTGCCTGGTATGGAGGCATGAGTTCAGTTCTGGTCCTCAAATGACCCATTTAGTTCCATCAAAAGGCACTTTCCAAATCTTGTCATAGGGCTCCACCAAATCAGGATATGGTGGTGAAACTGGAAATATTTGGGGAAACAACAATAATGCCTATCATAGCAAACACAAATCCTCTTTGTATTTCCCTCAGGGGGTCTTGGCTGGGGATGGAACACAGTGGTAGAGCACTTGCTGAGCAGTTACAAGATTGTTCAAGCCCCAGGGTTGCCAAATGAACACAGATCAGAGTCAGAGGGTCTTGCTGCATGGCTTCCATCCACTCTCGATTTAGAAGAAAAGCAAGCACACTTCCTTCCCTTCACAATATGAAACAAGCTCGCTAAGAATACGGGGATAAAATTATGTCTTCCTGCGGCATAAAGGCAATTTTCACCTCTAAGAATATTAAAGTGAGAGAGAACTATTTTGGGGGCCCCTGATTCACACAGGAATACTTCCTTGTATGTATCTTGGATTTGATTCTTAACTCTCACGGCTTCTGTAACCTTGAACTAACAACAACAACAACAACAACAACAACAACAATAATAAAAGGATGGTAGTGGGGAAACCTGGCCATAGTTAGTGGGCAATTTCCCCCAAACATGGAAGAAGCTGCAGGGATTCAATCATAGAATTCATTATGTTGCTACATTCTTGAGTTGATTTATAGATGGGGGAATGCAGACACAAGAGAAATAGGAGCTTGATCGTAGCCCTGGCTCCAATAAGCCAAGGAGTTGGGGCCTATTTTGAATATTCTGACTCAGCTATGAGGTAGACTGCTTCTCCTTTTCAGTTTCACCACCAAGCTTCTCTACCCGTTCCGTTTTAATTTCACGACAACGTTCTTTATCCAGACTCAGAACTCATGGTGTCTTATGCTACTGTGCAAACGAGACCATCGTTCATCAGTGACAGTTGAGCTGGCTCCTCTGCTCTTTTTCATATGTTTTGTGTTTTTAATCATTTGAGAATCTGAGCTACACTGAGATAATATCATTGATAAGATATAATGGGTCATGACACGACTCTTCACTAACCTCCTAAATACCATGCACTGCATTTTCCATTATCGTGGCTATTATGGGTAAGAATATAGAACCACTTTGACATTTCATATGAGGGGGGTGTTGGTGAGGAGAGTGTTCGGGTGTGGGAAGGAAAGAATTAAATAGTGAAAGGTGGGGAAATTGGAGATCAGAAATAACAGGAGTCTGTCACTACTCTAGGGCTGCAAAGACTGTGTGTGTGTGTGTGTGTGTGTGTGTGTGTGTGTGTGTGTGTGTGTGTGTGTATGTGTGATCATGTCCAGAGTCCAGGAAGGAGGACCAGTGAGTGAGAGAAGGAAAGCTGTGCAGAGGACCTGGGTCTACCAAGCACACACTGTCTGTGGATGGCTTGAGACACTGGGACACCTGCTAAAGACAGCTACCAAGACAATTAAGAGAGGGGCCTCTGCAGGGGGGTGGTGGCTCATACCTTTAATCCCAGCACTCAGGAGGCAGAGCCAGGCAGATCTTAGTGGGTTCGAGGCCAGCCTGGTCTACAGAGTGATATCCAGGACAGGTACCAAAACTACACAGAGAAACCCTGTCTCGAAAAACCAAAAATAAATAAATAAATAAATAAATAAATAAATAAATAAATAAAAAAGGGGGGGGGTTCTGTCCTGTCTCCTCATTTCCTCTCTCTGCTGTGTTACCAGCCCCTTCCCTTAGTCAGGTACATCCAGATTCCTACTGAAAAAGAAAGTAAACAAATGTAGTTCCTAGTCTAGAAGATTCTTGGGGAAGGACAAGAAAGGCCCTGGAAAAATGCATGGCGGTGTATGCAACCACCTAGAGTTTTCTGGGGAAGAGACTCTGTGAGATCCATTGGTGTCATTAAAACTTCCATTTCTTTCCTAAGTATTTGTTAGATGATGTGATCTGTTTGAGCGATGCCTTTTGCTTTTAAAGTGATTGATTTGACATAGATACAGCCATGCTAAATATATTTTACTATTATTTAGGAGCTGGAATTCTGCATTATAGATGAAAATGAATGACTTATGGCTCATTGCATATAATTGTATGCCCCTTTACATTCCTTTTCTAATCCTAGTTGTCTGATATTGTGATATTTTATTTAAGGCTTACTCAATGAATTTTACCGTGGACATCTAAGAATAATAGTTTTCAACTGCAATATAGGATTGTGGTCTTTAAGCACTAAGTGGAGATCTATGACTATGTCTATGTGACATGAATTTACCTTCTTAAAAAAAATGAGAACAAAGTCTACTAAGCTGGCTATGGTGAGTCACATAGAACAACACTTTCCAACTCATTTTTATACTTACCATGTAAGACTTGCTATGGAGAAAAAACAAGCTATAATAAAATAAGTTTGAGGAAGGCTACATACATTATCCCTATTTTAGAGAAGTCACAGTGTTTAAAGGATTGATGATATTTGGGGAGAATGTTATTTAATGTAGCACTCCAAAATTAATGCATTTTAAAAGGAGAGTCAGGCTCCTACCATCATTCAGGTGAGAGGGAGCAGATGTCTGAACCAGGGCAGAGATCACAGGACTGCTGTGGCAGACAGTGGTGACAGTGGGGACATTTGTCTTCAGGTTGGACTGGGAGTGGTATTGGCTTGAACAGAGAAGAGAAACCAAGGGAGTCATGGCGTTCTTGATCAAAAGAACGCTTACGTTAATGACATAGATGAGTGTGAACAATGATGCTTATTCTGGCATCATTTGTAGCAGGAAAAATTAAAAACCGTATAAATACTCATCAATAGTAATGAGCAAATAATGTGTTGGCTATAATAGTATATTTATATTATCATTTCAATCATTAATGAGGATTATCAACATCCATACTAAAAGATTTGGAGTTACTTACATGATATTCTGTAACAACACAGATTTGTAAAAAAAAAAAAAAGGTTCAATTTTATTTAAAAACTATATAAAAGAATTGAAAAAAGTAATATTCATCATGGAAGACTCCACTATTCTAACGGATTTAACTGTGGCCAGTCAGGCTTGCTTACAAGGGACACCCAATGGGCCATGGGAAGGGCAGGTGGACTCTGAACAAAGTACAGAAGTTACCATCTCACAGCAGGTCTGCTGGTCTTTTGTCTCTTCCAACCTTTCCACCACCTCTTCCAAGATATCCTACGTATCTGAAAGGTTAGTAACCTGATCGGTTATCCAATCCCAGCTGGTTAGATATAGCACATGTACATAAGGGCAACACTAAGTGCAGTCGGTAGGTGTGTGTGTGTGTGTGTGTGTGTGTGTGTGTGTGTGTGTGTGTACCAATAATTATAGAAGAGGTCATGAATCCAAGGTGGGAGAGTGAGACATGGAAATGACATAAACACAGCATAATCATGTATGAAATTCTCAATATATATATACATGTTTCATTATATAGGATATATATATAATAGTCATCTATTATGAATAATTCATATATGTAATTTGAAAAAAACCCACAGAAACTAAAGTAGAGTGTTGAGTCATTTGCCCCAGTGAAATCATATGAAAAGTGAAGGGACTCCTGAGTACTGAGGGCAGAATATTCATTGCCTCTCATTTTGTAAAATGGGAGAAATAAGCCAAGGATGCAGTAAATCACTCAGAGGAGTAGAAACAGAGCCTGTCTATCACAGGACCATGCCCATGCATGCTGAGCTTGATGGCCTGTCGGGTTCTGAGCCACAGCTGACTGCATCAGGTGATGTGTTTGGTAGCTGAGGACTTCATCTCAAGGCACAACAGGAAGAGCCTCAGAAGTGTGTGTGTGGGGGGGGGGATGTGCCTTGGCAGCTCATTTTCTCTCGATCTGGCACCTCACCTTGCTCTCCTTACTCTCGCTGCTCCAGCAGTGAGCGGCTCTTTCCCTGGATAATTCACCTTCCAAGAGAAGATTTTATCGATTTAAGTAATTGCAGTATACAGAAGGCTCTGCCTTGGCTTCCCCATAGCTCCACATAGGCAGACTGTCCAGCACAATCATGAAAGATTAGCTTGGGGCCTACTCTTTCCTTCCCCAGGAACAAAGCAAAACAAGGAAAATTAAGTGTTTAGCATTTAATACACCAAATACTGTTTTCAGTGAAATTGGGAAATGCTTAAAATCTAGAAATCCTGAATGTCGTATAATGGAACCAGAAGTGTATGCCAGACAGCTGTGGAGGAGATGTTGTTGGAGCCACTGGGGATATGAGCAAGAAGTATCCGGCATTCAAGCCTTCAGGTGGCAACACACTGAGGCAAACACTTGCAAAGCCTTAGGAGAGAACCCAAACCCCAAGGACCAAAACGAAACTGAAGTTGCTGCTGCTATGGAGAGAATACAGCTAAATCGGACCTGGGTCAAGCAACAGCCCCTCACAGGGCAGATGAAAGGTGGAGGTGTGGAGAGTATCACACAGGAGACAGTCACGTCAAATATACAAACCATATGGAAACCATTCTGGAGGAACTTAGCAATGATTGTTTATTGAACCTCCTAAGAGACGAAGAAGCAAGAAAACCTTGAAAA